CATCACGAATTTGAGGTGGTAATTGGGCGCCAATCTTGACAATCCGATCTGGGTGATTATCATCGATTTGCACTTTCTCTAAGTCCCCTCTTGGCATGGCTTGTTTTATACTTGCACCTTCTTGTGTGTCAAGCTCAACCGCATGGTCTATCCCATCTTGTTCGATGGCGTACATCTCCATCTTTTCCTTCCCTTTTTACGTGGACACCACAGCGTAGCACTCCGTAGGCTTTATTTTTTTTATTTTTTTTTAAATCACCCTTCACATATCCCACACCAGCTTTGGTTGGGAACTTCATCAAGAGCATGTGGCTGGTAATGAACCCTCAAAGAGAGCACAAGATTGGCCGACCTAAAATAACATTATAAGCAGAAGGGCATTCAACTATTAGAAAAGTTGTGTACACCGTTGTTCTTTAGGGTGCCATTCCAAGTGACAGAAATAGTGTGATGCTTCTAATGGAGTTGATCCTGTCCTTAGTGAATCCAAGCAAGGGAGTGACCACTGACTTGATCTCTTCTCGTGATATCTCCATTTGTTCGAAAGCCAATGTAAAAATGATACTGACTGAACTTCCTGTGTCAATAAAGACCCGTTTCACGCAACCATTTACGATCTCAGTTTGGATTATAAACGGGTTATCATGTGGGTGAACTACACCTCTTTCCTCCTCCTCTTAAAGGTGATCACTGAGTACCCGAGCTTGGGTGACTTTGGAGTACTGTAGCCTGGACCAATCAAGAGTAGGAGTGGTTGCAGTTCGGTAACCACAAATTTTTACTCAAACCGCAAACCGATCGACTATTTGCAGTTTGGTGATTTTTGAAACCCCAAACCGATCGCGTTTTGCAGTTTACCGCATTGCTGTAAACCGCAAAATGTGGTCGGTTACCGCGAATTAGCGGTTTAAACAAAAATATAAATTCACAACCTAAATAAATAAATACACAACCTCAATTTCTCAAACATATATAAATTCACAATCTCTTCAACTTCTCAAGCATTCACAACCTAAGAAAATTAAAGTTACAATTCCAAGCATTCCAATTCCAAATCCTTTAAAGTTATAAACCAAAAGGAAAATGCAAAGCAAAATGAATTAAAATTACAACCAAAAAGAAAATTCCAATTCAAAGTTAATTAAAGTTACAAACTAAAAGGAAAATGCAATGCACCAATGTTACAAACTAAAGTTACAAACTCAAGTGTTGGTGGTGAGTGGATTTGAAGAACCCAGTTGTGTTGTTTGAGCACCAATGTTGTCTACAAATAAAACAACAGAGTTTAGTACATTTTATTATAAGAAGAAGCATAAATAACATTAGCATAAATAAACTAATTACTTACAAGTTGTCATATGTTCCATTTCCTTGTAGAATTCAACCTCATCATCCGTGCGGCTATACTTTGCGATTTGCGGTAACCGCAAGTTTTGAAAATCAAATACCGCAAATGTGGTTCAGTTCTTAATACCGCAGATGCGATTCGGTTTACCGTGATTGCGGTTTCATTGCGGTAAATTGTCAGTTGGTTTTTTCGGTTTAAAATGCCACCCATAATCAAGAGTATCTCGAGTCCAACTTGGGTACGTCGTGCATATTATTTTCGTGCTTTGTTCGAATCCCCAGCTAGAGTTGCTCCACGTGAGATAACATTGATGTCTTTCAAAGCATGTGGTTGCTTGTCTGGTGTGTTGTCGTGCTGCCCTGCTTGCTTCTTTTCACCCACAAATCGGTTTAGACGACATCGCCTAATTAGTGCTTCAATCTCATCATGGAGTTCGTAACATTAATCCGTCGTATGACCGTTCTCGCAGTCATATCTACAATATTGATTTAGATCCTTTCACCCTTTGGAAAACCTCAAAGTTCGGGGTTTTAGCAACTTAGTTTGGATGTGGAAGAAGACCTCCTCTTGATTAGTATTCAACGAGGTGTAGTTGTCGAACTGCGTTTGAAATGGATTTTTATTCGATCTCGGTCTCTCCCGCCTCGCCTAGAAATCTCAAATCTTCTTTTCTTGTCATGTGGCTTATCACGTACATCATTTCAACCTTTTTTTGTTGTTTATCTCCTACACTAGGCTGCGATGGATCTTTCCTTTCTGGTGTGTCCTATGTCATCTCCTCAGTGATGGCATGATGATACGCCTCAGACACCAGGTCCTCATAACTCTTAGGTGGAAACTTGTTGAAATGGAGCACAAAATGTCCTCTTCGGAACCCAGCTAGAAGGGCAGTATAGGCCATATCTTTGGAGCAATTAGGGATGCTAATTACTTCTTGATTGAAACGGTTGATGTACTCTCGCAACTTCTTCTTAGGGCCCTACCTGATGCTAATGAGGTACTTGGGTGGGTGCCTCTTCTTTGAGGCAAATAGAAATTGGTTCATGTGGCTCTATTTGAGCAAGTCAAATGAGTTGATGAAGTCAGGCTTTAAGGACTTGAACCAATCCTTAGCTAATCCTTTTAAGAGCAGAGGAAAAGCTAGACATTTCATGACATCTCTGGCATCTTTCACATACATCAAGTAACATAAGTTGTTCAAGAAGTCCACCTAGTCGGTGGTCCCATCATAAAGTCGCATCTTGGGCTATTTGAAATCCTTTAGGAGCTTGAATTCAAGGATGTCTCTAGTGAATAGTAGGGTGTCAGTTGTCATGGCCACGTCGAAAGGTCCTGGACCTCGCTCACGCTCGAGGGTTATTAGGCGAACTTCTAGCTTTCGATCTATCTCATCTTGCATCCGCTTCATGGCTTCCAAAATTCTACTTTCTTCAGTATGCTCGTCTCCATTAGGGCGGACTTTGGATTGATCGACTTTCCGATCATGATCGACCTCACGATAGCGATTACGAGGTCGTACTTACTGAGCTTTCTTTTCCTCAAGCAAATCTCTTAGGTCAAGATATTTTAGCCAAATCCAAGCTTTTTAGTTTGTATCTAGGCAGCTACTCTTTAGCTTTCATCTATTCTTCCTTCCTTTATGGTACTTAAAGTCAAGTAAAGGTTGCTTTCTGTTGAGTTATATTCTTTCATATATGAGATTTAGTAGTAGAGCATGAGTTAACCAAACTAGTAATCTAATCAGTCATCTAATCTTAGGCTTTGTTGCTGTACTTATTCTAGCTTTCGGTTGGCATGCGAGAGAAACCAAAGAATGAGTCGTGAATGGTAGGCTCAAAAGTTTGCAGCTTCCCACGATTCTTTCCATAAGGAGATCGGGGATGGCTTTCACCCTCTTCATCGTCATGTCCCTCACGTTGAAGTTCGCCTTGGCGTTGGGGTCCACTGGACCACTGCGTTGATGATCTCCATGTTCCTAACACCACTCTTCTAACCTTCGTTCTCTTCTTGTATGGGTCTTCTTGGTTTCCTCCATGACCTTCTTGTTATGATCACGGAGTTCATTAATGTCTTTCCTCATCTCCTTCAGGTAGGTCTCAATGTTAGTTAGGTGATTAGATTTCTTCCTTCATTTCCTCGGCGTAGCGAGGGTGACGGGTTAGTCAGGGCTAGAAGTTGATTCCCACATACGACGCCAAACTATTGATGCCTAAAATTGGTTCAACAGAAGATGACATCTTCGAGATCGAGGTCGGATAATTCTTCCGGACTAGGTTAGCGTGACTAACCAAGTTGTCCTCCTTAACTTGCAAAACAATAGAGCTTCAGTGGATGACACCGATGTGGTGTCGGACCCTCCAATGCTTAAGTCAGTCAAGTGTTTGAGAGCAAAATTGCACAATGGGTTCTAGTGCTTTGAATTGCATACCTTTGACGAAAGGTGACCTCATCCTTTTATATCACCCCAGACGACCTAATCCCTCTCGGAGTGGAACTCTAGAACAACCTAGGCCTTCTCGAACTAGGACTCCGGAACAACCTAGGCCTTCTCAAACTAGGACTCCGGAACAACCTAGTCCTTCTCGGACTAGGACTCCTTTTAGATAGGCATCTCGGTGATATCGAAACATCCTAGCTTCTCAAAGACTAGAAGTCCTTTGAGTGAACACCATGCACACCAAGCCCAAGCTCATGGCCAATAGGCCCATAAGCCCCCTTGGGTCAAGGTGGAAAAATATATGGCGATCGAGCTAGGGCCCAACTCAACCACTAACACGTGCTCTGGCCTAGCTTGGCCTAGAGGTATTTTACCTCACAAAAAACTTTCAATTTCAAACAAATCTTCAATCAAATAAAGCTTGGAATCCCATGCTGTTACCAAGGTCCAAGCCCTCAAATATTCTAGCTTTGTCACAACTAGAATTGGGTTTGGGTATGTCCGTCATCTCAAGCTTAAAATTGTAGAGTGACAAGGGAGAAGAATAGAGGGTGTGTCACAGGTGGGTGGTGGGTTAGGGTGCGGTAGAGGTGTCGGCATGCAGGGATTGAAGAATTGAAGCTTGGAGAAGGTGACGACCCAGTTCCTGAAGTCGCCGGCTCCGATGAAGGCGTCGATTATGTTGTTGAGTTGTTGGGCTGAGGTGATCAGGGAAGGCAGTAACAGAGGTGGGGGATATTGGGTGGCTGAGATAGGTTGTGGTAGGAGGGATGGGGTTAAGATGGATGGGTGGGTGGAGGAAAAGGTGGGTTGTGGCAGTTGGCATGGTGGGCTTGTGGGGAAGAGGGTGTTTAGAAAAAAGAAATCATTTTTCATTTTTACAATTATAAATAACGTTTTATATATATATATATATATATCTTTTTTTAATTTTATGTATTTGACTATTATTTTATTCAAAATTACAAATTTACCCTTATTACTAACGGAAAAATAGATGAAATTTCAAAAAACTTAACAGCAAGTGCTAAATTGGCCAATTTAATTAATTCAGGTGTTAAATTGGCTAATTTTTTAGTTCGACGGGTTAAGTTCGAATGGATCCTAGTTCAAGGGGTGTGCGGCAATTTACTCTTAATATATTATTAAACCTTTTTAGTTTTTTGGCTAGTAAATAATATATTATTAAATCTCAACGGCGGATATCAGTTCCCTAAAAATCTAAATTTATTTACACCGGTCGGCCCTGGAAGAAGAAAAGAGGAGGAAGTAGAAGGTAGGGCGAGAAGCAAAATCTGAGTATGGAAGAATTTGAGAAGAAGGTCTCACTAAGAGACCCAATGGAAGAAGACGAAGAAGAAAGGGAGAAGGCAGGAAAGTGCTCGTCCAAAACCGTCGATTTACTGCGCGAGTTCCTCGGAATTCAGCAGCGGAGGGCGGAAGCATACGCGAAGTTGAAAAGAGGGTTTGGGGAGTATATGGTGTGTTCAGGGGCACATGGGGAGTTGGCCTACCAACAAGTTTGCAGTGAGGTGACGCTGGAATTCAACGAGTGCTCAAAGCATGTGCTTCGTATTGAATCGCTCTTTCTCAACGATCCCGATTATGGCCGGGTTGATTTGGCCCATCTCCTCAGAGCTGTCCAAACCCAGGAGAAGCAGAAATTGAATTTGGTATTTATTTCATCATGTATACTCTACATTTTTATGTAATTTAGTTTGGTTATTTAATCTGGTTATGAATGGATCATGGAATGGACGACCAAATTCATGTATACATTGCCAAGATTTTTGTTTTTTTTGGTGTTGTACTAAATAATGCTTGTGGAACAGCTAGAGAAAGAACCAATACCAACCTACACAAACATTAATATGCATATATTTTTGTAAATGATCATGGGTTCTGATTAATGGGTATGCTGTGCTCTTGGAAGCTTTGGTTGGTTTTTTTTTAAGTGTTTTTTTTTTCTTTATTTCAGGTACATATTCTAAGCAATGTGTGTGGTTATTTTTGCTACCAGATTTTATTCCATTTTCTGCTGACATTAAGTATACCTTTGTTTGATTTGAAGACAGCTACAATTCAGGTGCTGAAGAAGGCTGGTAGACCCTCGGAGCGTCTGGTGAGTCATGAAAACTGCAGATTTAAGAAACCAATGGAGCATGAGTGTGTGCATCTCCATGAGATAACAGAAGCTGCTGGAACTGAAGAGGCAGAAGCAGATGCCCAGTATGATAATGATCTCAAGGAAGCCATTAGAGGGGTGCAGGATGCTGTGACCGCTATAAATGAGCATTTGGAAGAAGTCAGATATGAAATTGCTGCCCTTGAAGCTGAGTAAACTCACATGTTTCATTAGGTATGCATTTCTCGGTTTCGACAACTAAAACTGTGAACAAGGAATGCACAATGCTCAGATTTTTGCATAATGTTATCTTTAAATTTATACAGCATACACATGCTATGCATTTGAAATATGATGCAGCTTACTCTGGCTAGGAATGCAATGGAGGTTATAGAAGTTATAGAAGTTAGAAACATGTGTGGTATGTGGCATGAAAGTAAATAGATTGAAGTGGGCAATGTAATTACCCTACCCTGATTGAAATTGAAATATATATATATATTTTTAAAGTGTTTAAAGTAATGAGAATAGATTGATCATTTTTGAGTTGTCTTCTTATTATAGATGTTTGCTCTATTCCTACAAACAATAATTGCAGGGATCATCAAATTTTGAGTGCCATTCTGAACCTGTGCTTTCTTTTGCCAAATATTGCAGGGATATCTTATGGGAAAAACCTTAGTGGTTCCTTGTGTTGTAGGAATAGAGCTATCTTAGCACAAAACACCAATGAACTTTGCAGTTGCATGTTCGCCGAATCCACTTTTCTCTCAGCTCGTAGGTAGATTTCTCATCCGAAAGTTCACAGGAAACAGTTCCATGGAATGGAATTGAAAGAGGGTGACATACGACGTGCCGTTGTTGGTCATGCTATTAGTATTTGTTGTTCAGTGTAGAAACAATCTAATTTCTTAACTTCCTTTCACAAGGATTGAATGTTTTCTTGGTTCACTGCTTAGCTAATTCATGCGTTCAGATGTGTTGCTCCTAATCTCATTAGTTGTTAGGACTTCATCGACTATATGAGAAAATTTTAAATATACTTGAGAATTGAAACAATTTTAATAAATAGATTTGAAATTCAAGGATCATAAGATAAAACAATTGTATTCTAATTTTCATTTTTTTATCTCATGTTCTCTCACTCTTTCTATTCTAATTTTCACCTGAAAAAAAAAACAAAACAAAAAAAAAAAAAAAAAAAAAAAAAAAAAAAAAAACAAGAATTGAAGCAATGTGCCACATCATATAAACTTGAGAAATTTTATTACATTTGCTGTCACTTAAATTTTTATTATGAAAAAGTGCTTTGTTCTGACATGAAATGGCTATTGAACCTAAAAAATTAAATATTAAAATTATTTACTGAATATACATCCTTCCCAATCCAACGTTTTTATTGATGAAAAGTTGTTCCCCCCCGCCCCCTCCACTTTGAGTAGGGCTGGCTTAGAGGAGGATTGGCAATGGGTTGTGGGTTGTGAGTCGTGTCGTGTGGGTTCGTGTCATGTCATGATTATATACGTGTCAAATTCAAACCCGACCCGTTTAATGAATGTGTCATTTACAGGTTGACCCACTTATTTCCAGCACAGGTTTTGAGTATATGAAGATTGAGAAAAAGAAATTTAAAAAAAAATGAATAAAATGAAGAAAATGAAGAAACAAAGAAATGGGTTGGCAAGTTGGCAGGTCACATAAGTATTTTAGCGAGTTGGTAGGTTTCATAGGTATTTCAGCAGGTTGGTGAGTTGACCTGTTTAATAAACGGGTTATATAAGTATTTTAGAGGGTTGGCGGGTTGACCCAAAACTCACTCATTTATAAACGAGTCAGTGGCAGGTTGACTTGAAATCACCTAAAAATTTAATCGTGCGGGTTGACCAGTTAATTTTCCGTGTTGGTTTTGAATCGTGTATCAAGTCATCTCTCTCATGTACGAATTCGTATCAATGTCCTCTTTCTTTTGGTGCAAGATCCACTCATTGAAACTTACTGTACACGAAGACCAAGGCCAAAAGTTATGTTTTTCAGCAGTTTTTCACCAGTTCCGACCAATATCGGCCACTTTTGGGGTCGACCCACCCAGGTATTAAATTTGCTCCTCTCTTTGTGTTCTACCAGTTCATATGCGTTGATTATGTTGTTTTTGAGTTTTTAGAATTTGATGTACACACCCAACCACCCCTAGGTGTTACATGGGGCACACCCCTAGGTGGTACTCCTTTTGTCCTCATGAGCTCAACTTTATATGTAGTGTTCCGAGATTTGGTCGTGTGACCATTGAACATGACTTACACGCCACCCAAATTTGCGATTCCTGGAATTCCGACCGTTGGATCGTTGCCCTTTTAACGAGGCAAACAACTTAACATCAATTTAATTCTGTTAATTCCCTTCAGTAATTTTTAAATTAAAATATATTAAAATACATATTTGACAAAAATAGTTTGCACGCCTCTTCATCTTCTCCACCCTACTTAAAAAAGACTCATGTTAATTTTGGGGAAAATGCTAGGGAGACCAACTTTAGATATCAACTTGTGTACCATCTCTCTAATAGAGTGTGGGACCCATTGTATTGGTGGGCTCCACCTCTATTAGAGAGATGGTACACAAGTTGGTATCTAAAGTTGGTCTCCCTAACATAACCCTAATTTTGGTCATTATCTTTAGCCGGGCACAAAGAGCACTACTACAATCACTTCCACGAGCCCTCTTCGTATGGAAAGTAATCAATGTCTTCCTTTTTAACCCCATTGAACATCACCGCCGCCAATGACCCAAATATTCCTGCAAAAAACTATCAATCGCACACAAATTTTTTTTAAAAACCCTAGAAAACGCAAATCTGCTCTGCATCTTAATTGTTTTGGTTTTAAATCTCTTCGTTCTTATATCGCAGGGCCTGAGTTTTGCCAAGCGGAGAAGATGCAGGGGGTGAAGATGAAGAGGCGTGCAAACGTGTTTGTCAAACATGTATTTTAATGTGTTTTAATTGAAAAAAGCATTGAAGAGAGTTAACAGAGTTAAAACTGGTGCTAAGTTGTTTGTCACATGTCATAAAATTAAGGAGGAAACAAGGGGCACTGGGGATTTAGTAACAGGAAAATTGGACTCGTGGTAGGGGGAGGGGAAGTTGGAGTTGCAGTTTAATTTTTTTTAAAGGTTTAAATTTAGTGTTCTGTTTGTTTTTTAATTTTAATTTCTTAAACATTTTCAAAACATAAATTGTTTTTTCTTCAAATCCACTTGGCATGTTATTATTGGACATATGGGCTCCATATACATGTCACATCATCAACTTAATAGAAATTTCGACATAACCCAATAGCATGACCAAATTAATGTGTGAGGTATAACATAGACGATCAATAATGTCAACAACAAAAATACATAAGGAACCAAAGATGATAATTTCCCAAATCTTTGAGACCATTTGTGATTAAAAAAATATCCTTACCTAAAAACACCAAAAAAATTAAAGACTAGAAATGTCGAAAACCTTGCATATGAGAGTTTCAATTCGTCAATCGACTAATTTAACTTTACCGATATATGATGGAACGCAAGCAAACATTAATTGTGTGTAGAGTTTTCAGCGAGGAAATGAGCAATGAGTGTTGATTTTGTAGGTACAATAGTGTGAGGAAGAGAATACACCGTATTTCTCACAGTGAGTTCCTTTTTCTTAATATGATGTACCATTTGACACTAGGGTAATGTTGTCCTTTAACAATCGGGTAAAATTTGAAATCTAAAAATCGTTAAAAGGTTAGGAAAATAGTTGCGTTTAAATGGAGGCAGACTTACCAAAATGATTGACATCCATTAAATGTGACCTATTCTCAAGGAGGGGCATTATAATATGGAAAAACTTGTTCAGGGTTCGAGTTACTAATTGGTCACCATTCTCACTGGGAATGGTCACCAAATTTGTGGCCTAATTTACCTTTACATATTAGCACCAATACACCGGCCAAGACAAAATATTAGCTCTATAAATTGATCCTATTGCTGAGAGCTATTCACTTCTTTTGACGAGCGGTTAGCCGAGTGCGGCAGCTTCAACTTCTACCTCCGGATCCTCGTCTGTTGCTGAGATTAATGAAGCAGATTGAATCTTTCCAGCATGATCAAGCCGCATCAAAATGACTCCCCTGAAAAAAAAAACGTATAGTGAGTAAAATGTATGATCACGACATCTGCCAACCACAATAAGAGATGAAAAGGATTTGTCTATAATACATGCAAATCATATCGTTCCATCATAGTGGGTAGTTGAAGCATATTATGTCAATATATTTCAGAATAGAAGGAAAGGAAATACCAAAGTTGAAGTTTACCTTGCATAGCGAGACTGTATAGAAATATCCCGCACCTTAATTCTATTGACTGTACCACTTTGGCTTACAAGAACCACTTGTTCATCACTTTCTCCATCTTCTGTTAAGTTACATAAAGTTGAACAAAATTCACGAGAACGCTCATAGATATCAGAAAAAAGCCTCAAATATAGGTTCCAAACGTCACCTGCCAAAGAGAAGCCCACCACAAAAACTGCTGCCAAGCGATCCTCCAAGGCAAACTGAAAAAGAGCAGTGAAAAATAGGTTTATTTCTTATTCAGTCTTGAATAAGTAACTTCATAAGGCTTTGAACAAGGCACTTCATAAGCATACCTTATATCCTATCAGGCCAACCCTATTCAATTTGGAGGAGTGAAATCTGCTCAAGGGAACGCGCTTTCCATATCCGCTCTCAGACACAAATAACAACCATGGCCCCTTCACACTTCTAGCACTGTGGAAAAATCAACACAAAATATTAGATTAGCATATCCGGTTATTCGGGTTACATTGCATCTGGAAAATAAATTCAGCTTTAAACCATCTTAATCCCAAGCAACTAGGTTCAACTATGTAAGGCCAATTTTCTTTAGGTCGTTGCAACATTAACCCCTTCCATTTTCAACCTCCCTTTAGCTTTTTTCGTTAGCTGTAACTAGTTAACTATTAGGTCAACTAGTAGTGACTATCCCTCAGGTTTTCTGCCATTCAACCCCTACCATAAATTAGGTTTATTTCTTATTCAGTCTTGCCTCCATTTCCACTCGTCCAGCACATCCACTTTCTAGCTACGGATTGCCAACATTCTATCAACATTATTTCTCTTGTATTAATAAATGAGATGCCATTCAGATTGGCCAAATAACCAAACATCCAACCAAAAGCACTTATATTACTAGGTGTTGGTAATTCATGCTTATATAGCAGCAAACCTGAAGTCCAGTATGGTGCTAACCAATGATTAGGTAATAATAACAAGCTAGAAAAAAAAAAACAAAACAAAACAAAATGTTAAAGAAATTACGCAATATGGGGAGCTTCCAACACCCTCTCCAAGTCTTTTCTCATAGCTGCTGGTATGATGTCCACACTTGCCATCTTATCCCCTTCTTTAAGTCTCATGGCCACTGCCCCCCTAGTGTTTCTCCCTAGTGCACGAATCTGGTACATAACAGAGATGAACGTGACAAGATGCAAATTTGTAAGTACAAAAATCCTTCACGAAATGCAGCCGTTAGATGGTGGTAATATAGCGCCAAGAATTTCTAAAACTTTTTTTCTTTTTATTATTATTATTTTTTTGTAAAATGACCAAGGATATAGGACCACAGGTAGTACTAGTTCTCTACAATAATGAGATTTCTACATGAACATAGTGAAACAACTACAGAAACTCAATTCCAGAGATTTAGGACTTGCGAGTTTTAGACACTTGCACATAAACGGGTGCCAAAGTGCACGGGAGATACAAGATGATCCCAGCAAAGAGAGAAATAAAGAGATAAACAAATAAATAAAATGGGAGAACATGGGTAGCCCACAAGAATAGCAATCTCAAGACACAAGAACTTGAATTATAAAATTATTATTGTTCTTCATTTCAAGAGGCTCTACATCAGGAACATGGGGACACCT